TATATATATATTGTAATTATGTGTTCAACTTCAATCCAACAACAGTAGATAAATTGGAAATGAGAGAGTGTGAGCGTAAAATTCTTCTCTTTTTAAATATCTTTTGTTAAGGACATAAATATGTACCAAAGTGGCGCGACATATCATCGAACCTTCCGCTTCTTTGAAGGAACAAACAAATAAACCAGTCCAACTTGACGACTTTTCTCTCTCTGTTTCGCTTCGCGTCCTTTCAAGTCCATATAGCCAGCTTTTCTTTCTCTCTTCTCTCCAAAAAAACTTAATTCACAAGCTATCTTTGTTCAATTTTAGAGCTTAGCTTAGGGTCCTGTACAGAGCGAAAAACAGAAGAAACATGACGACGATGGAGAGCTTAATAGGTTTAGTGAACAGAATTCAGATGGCATGTACTGCTCTTGGTGATTATGGCGGCGCCGATAACTCCTTCTCTTCTCTTTGGGACGAGCTTCCCTCTGTTGCCGTCGTCGGTGGTCAGGTGCCTCAATTGTCTTAAACTTTGATCAGGATATTTAAATTAAAATTCACCGTACTAATTTTTGACTCTTCCCCTTCCACTTTACGTGACATGATTCAGAATACGAGGGTCAAATGACCTATTTGGTATGAATTCGGACATTTCAAACAAGTATGATTAGTAGTTAACAATTCAAAATATTTGAAAAGTATCTTAAAAAAAAAACCGTGGTTAAAGAATAAGTATTTTGACTCTACAAATAGTAATTGTGCGACGCAAAGTGGAATAGAGTACATAATTGATACAACTTTAACTTTGGCACTCATTGAAGGAGTGGTATTTTTGGAGTAAAGCATCTTTACTCACCTTGTTATAATGTGATACATTTCAGAGTTCAGGGAAGTCATCTGTGTTGGAAAGTATAGTGGGACGAGATTTTCTTCCACGAGGATCAGGTAACACCATTTTGGATCAATTCGATTTTGTTATATTATTGATGATCAGTGTTTTAGCATACCCATTAAGAAAATTAATCATAAAGGTTATTTTACTCAATTACCCTTATTTTTCCCTAAATGAGTAGAAGGGGAGCCTGACGCAATGCTAAAATTTGTCTTTGTCCGACGAGGAGGTCACGGGTTCAAGCCTCTTGGAGAAATGCAAGGAAAAGCTACGTACTTCAAACCCAATGTGGTCCTGCATTTCCCGGACCCTAGCATAGCGGTAGCTTAGTGTACCGGGTCGACCCTTTAATGAGTAATTAATGAAAAGATGCCTTCTTGGACTAATAAGTGTGGCATTAAAAATGGTTAATGCCGCCTTGGTTTTCTTGATTGACAAATATTGTGGACCAAATTTTTTTTGGCTGAAGTTATATATAAAAAGGACGGGATGGAGTATTTTTGAGTAATCTTCTTGAAATACAATATATGTTCCTGTTTGCATCACATTGGTGAATCAATGGTATACTCATTTATTAGTAGTTTTGCAGGGATTGTTACAAGGAGACCTTTAGTACTGCAGCTTCACAAGACAGATGAAGGGCAGCAGGAATATGCAGAATTCGGTCACCTTCCAAGGAGACGGTTTACAGACTTCTGTATGTGAAATGATAGCCGTTATTTTATCTTCTTGAGGCCTTATTTTCAATTACTCCCCCTCCCCCTTCCCAAAAGAAAAGAGAAAGAATTTATGGCGTGCTTTTAAGTTTTATTTTTCTGTTTCAACTTCAAAATTGGTGAATGATGAAGTAAACAGGTAAAATCCATATATCGTACAAATTACCAATGATGATGATGTTGGGATATGTTAAGTGTCAATGTGGCATTACTTTATCAAAAAGTGTCAATGTGGCATTATATGATTAATGATTCAGCGCCTCAGATATTGCTCTACAGTTCTTTCTCTCGTATTATGTGTCTGTATGTGTATGTGAAGTGCTCTTAGTTACTGGGTGCTGGTGCAAAAGATGTGATTTTTATAGGTTCTTTGCTTTTACAGCCCTCGTACGCAGGGAGATTCAGGATGAAACTGACAGAGTCACAGGGAAAACAAAGCAGATTTCTCCTGTTCCTATCCACTTGAGCATATATTCTCCAAATGGTATGCTCTCTGTTAATGTTTCAAATCTTTTGAGGATCTAATTGGAACTTCCAAAAGTAACTTTATGATTATATGAGCTTTGAAAATGTTTAGTTGGAATTGCTGTTTCAGTATTTCCCGAAATTATGTTCTTGTATCACGTTGCTTTTGGTGGTCTGACTCCCTAATAAACAAAACAACTTTCTTTCTCATACTGATATTTCTTGCTTGATGTTATGCACTGGCAGTGGTCAACTTAACACTGATCGATTTACCTGGTTTGACCAAAGTTGCTGTTGGTATGTACTGTACTTTTTCTCCTACTTATGCATATTCATATTTATCTGAGTTTCCTCAATAATACAAATTTGTTACTGCAGAGGAGCAGCCTGAGAGTGTTGTCAAAGACATTGAAGACATGGTTCAATCTTACGTTGCAAAGGTAATGACACACTTTTTCGCTTTTTGCTGTTGCTCTAATATTCTTTTTACCATTGAGAAGGAAGAGTTTTCTTTTCAAGTATTGAGAAAAATACAAAATGGCACAACTAGTAGCTAATTGTTGTTGTCAAACATGAACCACTGGCAATTTAGAGATTTCAGGTGCTTTTGTCTTAAAGGAAAAAGATTAATTTGTGTTTCTAACTAAAACTTTGGTCTCCAAATCTGTTTCAAAAGCTAGAAGGATGTCAAAAGATGGAATGATGACTGGAGTTCTTCCCGTGTTTATAATATTGAAGTCGAGGATTCCCTATTTCGTTTGCCAAATATAGAAACAGGGGTTATGAACAAGTGAATACAGATTAAATGAGGATAAGCAAAAGAAAGTAGAATATTTCCAGCACCTGAAATGGAGTTAAGCAAACAATAAACTGATCTATCAAGTTGGAATCCTTCATAATTTTGTATCACAGAGCTTTCTTGGAGAACATACATCAACACTCCTTTCAATTCAGATAATAAAAAAAATTATTTTTTGCCAATTGATCAAAGCCTTTCTATACATATATTTTGTCAATATCAAATTGCTAAAATATTGCCATACTAATAGTTCCATAAGTTAACAATAATGAGCTGGTAAACCTTTATGCTGGCTTGCTGCATTTATCTTTCATTAAGTCCTAGTTGTGAATTTGGCAAATTGTCTTATCGGTATGTTCATCATTGTGAATAGTTCAAGAGCTAGTTTCACGTGTTTTGCTAGTTATTCTTGCATAGATCGTGCACATTTGTCTTACTACAGGAACTATTTTCATGCTGCTATATCTGACGGCTAAAGTGGTATCAGTTTAATCATCTGATGTTCATAACATTTTCTTTGATATGCAGCCCAACTGCATCATACTAGCAATTTCTCCTGCGAATCAGGATATTGCCACGTCAGATGCTATAAAACTTTCAAGGGAAGTAGATCCCACAGGTATATACTCTTGGGATGTAACAACTTGGAGTTTGTAATTGTTTAATGTCTACCTTTGTGTAGGGGTGTTCACGGTTCGATTTGATCGGTTTTTGATTAAAACCAAAACCAAACCAATTTAATCGGTTTTTAAAATTTTAAAACCAAAACCAAACCAAATTAAATACAAACCATTGGTTTGGTTCGGTTCGGTTTGGTTTGGTTTTTCGGTTCTTAGTAACCTAATAATAAGTCGATAATAGTGAAACAACACTAGACAATGATCTGAAAATAATTTGCTAAATTTATACTTTTTTATATATTTCTTTCGGAACTGAAAGTTTATTTACCTCTTTATATGAAAAGAATGAACAAAAAAAAAACTAAAAGTTTGCTTTCTCAAGCTTTAGCCACTGTAGTCCTGCAATTTGAGTTTGCTTTCTTTACTCTTATGGTAGGATTTTTTTTTAACTCTTCTGTTAGGCAAAAGTATGTGCGGAGGGTTAGAGAATTAAAGTCTCTTAAGGAAAAGAAAATTGGTCGATTCCTATTGTTTTGGGCTTAGGCAATCTTTTAAGATATAAGTAGGATAAACCAAAATTTAAAATAACAATTAAATTGCATAAAATATTTAAATTATTTAGAAAAAGATATTATATTGTATATAAATAATTATTAAATTTTGTATATAATTAATCGGCTTGGTTCGGTTTAATTTTCGGTTTTTTATCATAGAACCAAAACCAAATCAAATATTATCGGTTTTTAAAATTTAAAACCAAAACCAATCCAAATCAAAATAAATATCGGTTTGGTTTGGTTTTCGGTTTGGATCGGTTTTCCATCAAACCGTGAACAGCCCTACCTTTGTGATAATCATCCTTAAAGAGTTAAATTGTTACTCATGCAGGAGAACGGACATTTGGCGTGTTGACCAAGCTTGATTTGATGGATAAAGGGACTAATGCGTTAGATGTGAGTTCTTCTATCATCTTCATGAATTATCGATCGAAGTGTACTACGTTTGTCCTAGTTTGTTTAGTACTCTTGAAGATTTTAATAACTAAATCAAAGGGTGCCTTATCTAACAAGTTAAGTTTAGATGAGATGGTCATACAATTTAATATCATATTTGAGTAGACAAAGATCCTGAGTTCAAGTATTACCATCATCCATTTACCAAAAAGAGTTTTCACGTGCTTGGCCCATGAAAAAATTATCAGGGCCACATGTGAGGGGGCGTGTTGAAAAGATAATTAAATAAATAGAAGTGTATCCTATATGACGGTTTAAACTCTTAGATGAAATAGTCACACAATTTAACAAATACTATTACGACTTGAGTCAAACAGTTTTTTCTTTCACTGTTATCTTTTCTTTACATTTTCTAAACGTTTCTAACAATAAAAATTTGTGTTTCGTAGTAATTTTAAATAGTTTGTGAATCTGTAAATGTTATTTCAAAAGTTAAAGGAACTAATTCACATAAGAAATTAGATATTTTGGTCCTCGTAGTCTGAAACCCACTTTCAGAGTACTAAAACCAGATAATATATTTTGACGGTTATCATTGGTTGAGTTTATCTTCATACAATTCAAGCATATATAATTGGGTGAATTCGGAATAGCTTATCCTAATTGAATTGTGAACTGTTGTTGTTTCCTCCCTGTCCCGCTGGTTCCCTCATATCCTCTCCAATTTAGTTAGGACAGTCTAATCGCTTATGAAAGTATTTGAATTAGTTTTTTAATTTCTAATCTAAGGTTCTAGAAGGAAGGGCTTATCGTTTGCAACATCCTTGGGTTGGAATCGTGAATCGTTCACAAGCTGATATAAATAAAAATGTGGACATGACATATGCGAGAAGGAAGGAACGTGAATATTTTGCAAGCAGTCCTGACTATGGGCATCTGGCTAGTAAAATGGGTTCAGAATATCTTGCAAAACTTCTCTCGAAGGTATACTTTTAGTGCTGTCTATGAAAAAAAAGTGTTCTAAATAAATTAACATAGAGCTAACATTTGAGGTGCTTCTGTTTCAGCACTTGGAGTCTGTAATTAGAGCTAAAATACCGGGCATCACCTCAGTTATTAATAAAAGCATAGATGAACTTGAATCTGAGATGGACCACCTTGGGAGGCCTATTGCTGTTGATGCAGGGGTAAGCTTCATTTTATAATGCTGTCGTTTGTTCGTTGAGAGACTATATACTCAGTAACTTCACTGCTCCATTTCAGGCACAATTGTATACTATCTTGGAACTTTGCCGTGCTTTTGACAAGATATTCAAGGAGCATCTGGATGGAGGGTATGTGCATCACTTATCCTTTTCCCTTACTTTGATTTATAATTAGGTAACTAACTTCGGTATATCTGACGAATCCAAACTTGCACTTGCCTTGGGTTTTATGGGTTAAAATTGTTCATGTAATGTAATCATGTTCTCATTCATGAGACTAGTTCAACTATAAAGCTTGTTGTAGCATTTCTTGGCAAATACCAATAAAAGGATGTCTTCTCGGACTCGGAGTCAATATTACCAAAGGAAAATAATCTGTAATTGTGAAAACATCATCTGTATATGGCGGTTACTAGTTTATTCAGAATGTATTGTTTACCTTTAAATCAGTCTTTATTAACGTTCAATAATGGTTGGACCTTAAAAGCCCTCGTTCTAATAATGTTGTAACTTCTGTTAAAATCCTGAAACATTTACTAATTAAAATGTCAAAACAAGAATGAAAGAAATGGTGAGCTCTGTGAGTGGAACAGTACACAACATCATTAAGATTTGTGGACACCTTCTGTCCATTATTCTACATAGAAAACAGTTGGTATATTCTTTTAATTCATTGTTTATGCTTCTTCCTTAGTCCATCTTACTATCCCTGTTATTCTGTTTTCCCATATTTGCTTGGGCTATTCGAACTAGGCTAACATACTTTTGACTTGGTTTTGGCGTCTTTGAAAACCTAGTCCTGTAGTTAAATAAAAAGACTGATGAACATTTGGATTATTGGTCTGTTGAAGATGAATGTAAACCCAGACAGTGTACACATACATTTTTCATTTGAGGGTGCTGGCCCTTTCTATAAGGGTAAAAGTGATGGTGCAGTATACTCTGTAAGAAGTTTGATTTTTCTGAATGGTTTTTCTTCCAGACTCCTGGAGAAAAGAGAAAGAAGACTTGGGCATTTCGGTCATTCTAATCCTTCCTATAAAATGAGGGCAAACTAGTGGATACTACTAGCTCTAATGTGGCAAACACCCCTTTATATGTTTTTGCTAAGTTCCAGAATGACGCTTAGATATATAGCTGTCGAAAAGATAGATACATGTAAGTACTCTTTACTCATTGTTAGGAATAATTCAAAAGAGAGAGAAGTGGATAGATATTTGGTAGCTATCAGAGAGTAGAAAGAAACTTTTTTTTGTAAAAAGCGGGCATTAGAAAGTGAAAACCAAGAATCAAATGCAACTTATGGAACCTGTAAGTTCAAAATGGGGAAGAAACTACAACAATCGAAAGGAGCTCAAGTAGATTACCATAATGCACAAGGGAGAAAGCTAATTTGAATATACTCCTTTAATGCATACATGCACACTTGTACAGTTTCAGTTATGAATGTACCATGAGGTTCAGCTAAATGATATACCTAATTTCATTTATTTGAGATTTTTTGTCTTCCTTTCAGCCGACCGGGAGGTGATCGAATTTATGGAGTTTTTGACAATCAGCTTCCTGCTGCTTTAAGAAAACTCCCATTTGATCGGCATCTTTCAATACAAAATGTGAGAAAAGTTGTCTCAGAGGCTGATGGGTATCAGCCTCATTTGATTGCACCTGAGCAAGGTTATAGACGGCTTATTGAGGGAGCATTAAATTATTTTAGAGGGCCAGCTGAAGCCTCAGTAGATGCTGTAAGTACTTATTTTGAAGTCTATTGGAGTCAACTGATATACATGCTTCTTCTTGAGACTGTATTAAGTCAATGAATAACTGACCAAGGATTCATTTATTAGGTTCACTTTGTCTTAAAGGAACTTGTGAGGAATTCAGTCGGAGAATGTCAGGTAATGTTGACCCTACAGTCAGGGTTAAGCTCTATCCTTCCTCCTCCCCTTCCAAGCCTCCTCCTCTCCTTCTCTCTTCTCTAAATATGCTGATGGAGCAGGAGTTGAAGCGGTTTCCCAGTCTGCAATCTGCAATAGCTGTGGCCTCGTATGAAGCCTTGGAAAAATTTCGTGATGAAGGTAGAAAGACAGTCGTAAGACTGGTGGACATGGAATCCTCTTATCTGACAGTGGATTTCTTCAGAAAACTTCCTCAGGAAGTGGAGAAAGGGGGGAATCCAGCAACTACTAAAGGGGGAAATCCAGCAGCTACTCCTGCTGTAGACCGGTATGCAGAGGGTCACTTTAGGAGGATTGGTTCAAATGTATCATCTTATGTAAATATGGTGACCGATACGCTGAGGAACACTATCCCTAAAGCAGTGGTTTATTGCCAAGTTAAGGAGGCCAAACAATCTCTACTAAATCACTTCTACACTCAAATTGGGAAGAAAGAGGTAGTTTCTTCGCCTCTGATTTGTATTTATATTTGGGGTAGTTTTGATACATGATACTTAAAATTCTGGTTTATGTTCTTTTGGATGAAACTCTTTTACATTTGTTTAGCTTAATTTGAATACACAATTTGGTAAAAAATAGCCGTTTAATGTGATGGATAGACTAACACGAGCAGCTTTAGGATGGTGATGCAAGTGTTGACGTAATTTTTGCTCTGTTGTCTGAAGATTAAAGTTACTGTCCTTAGCTTTATGCTTCGAACTAAAAAATCAATGACTGACATGTGGGTCAAGAATATCATAGTAATTGCCAACTTGAAATTCTTAATGTTCTTGATTCTTCTTTTTCTTCTCTTTGGCAAGAGAATACCTTTGAGTTATAGGTGTTAAAAATTAAAACAAATCTACTGCAGAATAAGAAGCCAGGAGGGGTAACATTAGAGTTCAGTCTGTTCAAGTGATAATGGCTGCAGCATTTACTTTTCCAAAAGTCTTGTATCTGCAATCAATAAAACAAGTTCTTTTATTATCTCATTCATATTTTCCTTAACTAGTTACAATTCTGAGGGGGAGCCAGATACAACTTTTATTTTGATCATCCTTTTAAGGTCCCAAAGGCAGTGCTAATAATTTTCGGCAAATTTTCAGGGCAAGGCACTTGCAGAATTGTTAGATGAAGACCCAGCTTTGATGGAGAAAAGAGTGCAATGTGCTAAGAGGCTTGACTTATACAAGAAAGCAAGAGATGAAATTGATTCTGTATCATGGGTTCGATGAGATTGGGTGCCAGACATTCTTGTAAAATAGTGCAATTCACGGGTTAGATTACACTGATAGTTGTTGCTCCTTGGTCATCATTTGACAGCATATATTCTTTGATTGTATTAGAATTTATCATCACAATATTAGTGGATTGTTGCTTAATGACATGTTTGTGAATGACTGAGCTACCACATATATTCATATGCCATTTTGCTCTGGCATCTCCTCTCCATTTTGTATTAGTACTGTTGATAGTTTCCACACTATTCAAGGTGTAGTTTGAGTTAAGACCTAGGCAGATGATGTCTGCTGATTGGTAGTGAGAGGACTCTTAGTACTTGCATACCCCAGAGGGTGCAAGTTATAGGACAATCATTTGCTGTGGGAAATGAGTATCTATCTGCCTATCGTTGGTAGATTTTCGCAAATGCAGTCTACAGAATGGTGGATAAATCAAGACGACTCAATAGCATTACAGAATTGTATTTCTTGTCTGATGGATCTGATTTATGGTTAATGTTAAGCCAATTTTGCCTCCAAACCCTAGTTCCTCTTCATGGGTAAGGTTGAGGATCAAAATAGAACTGAAATGTCTTGCAACTCACATTTCTTTATCCCTTTTAACATTCATGATAAATTGGCTAAACTCATAAAATATGCTATTACAAAATTCATTGATGTTTCTTTTGTGACCAATCAGAATTGGCTTTCAGGATCAAATTTATATATGTATACGTTATGTTACTACAAAGCGCGTGAACACAAAGCCACACTGTTGGACCTTTTGAATAACAATCAAACGTGTTTACATTTAAATTTATTTACAAGCAATTAATGTGGATTTGAGATTAGGTTTAAGGGTCGCAAAGCAGAAAAGATTTCAGTGCAACGAAGGAGTTCTTAATAAACAAAAACTATATGTTATCCTTAAAATAGTAACATAAAGCTGAAATAGGGTTTCCTGAAATAATTAGCTCCATTAATGACTTTAGGACCTTAGGTATTTCATACATTTGCTTCTTTTACACTATATAGAAGTTAAACATGTCGTTTTAGGTATCTAGTTTATATTTTAAAAAAGTTATATACAATTACAGTTTAAATGGCTAACACTTTCTCCATCCATTTTATGTGAAGGTATTTGACTGAACACCGAATTGAAGTAAGAAATGTACAACAACAAATCCAGTGTAATCCCACAAATAGAGTCTGGGGAGGGTAGTCTGTACGCGGGCCTTACCCCACCTTAAAGGTAAAGAGGTTGTTTCTATAGACCCTCGACTCACGAAAGACGAGAAGAAAAGCAATAACAACAAAACAAAACGAAAGGAACAACATGTAATACTAAAAATCTAACAATAACATATTACAGGACTAACACTAGTAGTTTCGACTACCTACTAGCCGTCTGCTTTGATTCTCAACCTCAACATTTTCCTATTAAGAGTCATGTCATCGGTAAGCTGAAGTAACGCAATATCCTGTCTAATCACCTCTCCTTAATACTTCTTCGGTCTGCCTAACCCTGTAGTATCTAAAACATGTCATAGATGTTTTATGGTTGTAAATCATGTTATTAAAGATAAAAAAGAGTTTAAATACAAATTATTTTTAAAAATAAAAAAGGTATCGCTCCTTTTGAAACGAAGGAAACAGTTTCTTTACATGATCAACGTTAGGATAATATTTGGTTAAGTTGAAAAAAAAGAGTATAAAAGTTGAAGTTAAAAAGAGTAATCGGGTATCCCTTTTTTAGGCTGCTACATTATATTATCCCCTTTTTAAAACCTTGTAAATTATAACTTCCCGCTTGATAAGCGAGAGGTTTCACCCAAGCTCACAGAGAAATTCAAAAATAGCCAGATTTACAACTGGTCGTTCAAAAATAGTTCAGTTTCAAAAGTAATTAAAATTTAGCCACTTTTCATGTAAAGATAAATTTGAACGAAAACACTATTCAAAACCCGGAAAATACGCCAGTATATTATGCTGGAGTTCCAGCATAAGTATACTTGAACTCTAGCATATTATACTGGAGTTCCAGAATAAGTATGCTGGAACTCCAACATAATATGATGGAGTTCCAGCATAAGTATACTTGAACTCTAGCATATTATACTGGAGTTCCAGAATAAGTATGCTGGAACTCCAACATAATATGATGGAGTTCCAGCATAAGTACACTAGAACTCCAGCATAATATATTGGAGTTCCAGTAAGTATACCGGTCCAGCATAATATACTGGAGTTTGGAGCACTGATGCTCCAGTCTCCAATATATTATACTGGAGGCAGCAAAGTATATCGGTCCAGCATAATATGCTGGAGTTCACACACAGGTGCACCGAACTCCAGTATATTATACTAGACCGGTCTCTGTTGCAGTAAAATAATGGCTATTTTTCATTGACTTGGTAAACGCTCACTATTTTTGAATGACCAGTACGAAAACTGACTATACCGTGCTATTTTTACCACTTTAGTCCCGTTAATCTAAAGTTGTAAAGGAATTACAAAAAAAAAAAATCAAAAACCACTATTGTTTAGCGGTTATTAGCTACCTGTAGCTATCATTTACTATATTACTTCTTATAGCTATGTTTTCAGGTTTTTTAGAGTGTATTCGATGTATTTAAGCTACCGTATTCATGAATACAGTAGCATTTCTCAGCGTGAAACAGGGGATTACAGCCAGACAGATTATTGTATTTGACTGTATTCGCAGCGTGAAACAGAGAATTACAGCTGGACAGATTATTGTATTCGACTTTATTCGCGATATGTAATTGTGAATACAATAACGTAAATCGCGCAATTCATGGTCTTAATTGTTTTTAAACGGAAAGTGAATCAATTATCATAATAGACTACTAATATAGCTCAACAAACTCAATTATAACACACAAAATTTGTATTTCTAGTTATAAAATAATTCTCAATCGAAAAACACCCCAAAACATAGCAATCTTCAGAGAAATTATATAAGTACATTGAATACAGTTAAATACATAAAAATACATTGAATACATGAAGTATAGCAGGTCATCTATAGTGCAAAAACATATGAATACATACTGCAGATACATATGAATACATATATACATATGAATACATAAATTATATTAATTAAAAAATATATGAATACATTCATGGAATATAGTGGGACAGTGAATACAATGAAATACATGAAATACAACGGGATACATTAAAATACAATGAAAAAAAAGTCTCAGAAAGTCCAACAGTTGGTGTGGTGCTGAGGGCAGCCATGAGAGGTTTGACCGAAGTTGAAATCTTGTTATTGGAGTGAATGAAGTGGGTTGCTTTTAGAAAAGGTGCCATAACATCAGGACTTTTAATTTTTTGCTAAAAATTGGAGATGAGGAAATATAGCAACAATGCACGGGGGTTTAAGTACAACCTACTGTAAGAATGAATTGGCTCGATTTAGGAATAGTTTTATATGCGGGCAAGGCAAAAGAACTATTCACACTCAAGGCATCTATTTTTGATGTAATTGCATTTGGGGTTGTGATTTGGTCATCGTCGTCGGACCGTCTACTTCAATGGAGGTGGTGAGAGGCAAGAGTTGCAGTGGCCATGTCCAGATTTTATGGCAAAGCAACGACCATCAGAATAGGGTGGACCTTTCTCTCTAGGGCTTGATTTCGACATTGATTCAGAGCCACATCCACTGACAATGAAAATTTCGCGAGACAAATGGGAATGAATCAGTGGAGAATAGTAGTTGTATTCATGAAGAAACACTGGCGTTGAGAAAAAGAGGGTGGAGAAAAATCTGAAAGAATGAGAGAGAAAAATAATACAAAGAGTATTTTATGGCATAAGGGTAGGAGATAACCATAAATAGATATTTGGCTATAAATATCAAAAGGTAGCTGTGGAATATAATTTTTTTAAAAGGTATTTATTTAAAATAAATAAGGTGTCAACATTTGCTATATGAGGTAAAGATTCCAAAAAAATGCATAATTCTATTTGATCTAGAGTTTGTCCGGAACTGAAAATCTTACTGAAATGTTACCAACAGTTTCAACTTACCAACTTCTAGTCATTAGTCATAGACTTACCAAAACTAGTCAAACACATATAAAAATTAAAAACCCAAAGAAATAAGGTTCTTTCTCTCTAAGAATCACACACAAAGATCTCCTTCCATACTTTTAAGCGTAATTAGCAAATATTAGATGCAAGACGGAAAAGAAAATTTTATGGATGAAGTAGCAATAATGTGACGAAATACTATATATATACAAGATTCCAAAAATCTAAGCAAAAAAAGAACTTTTTTCAATGTGTATGGTTAAGATTCATTAAAAACATATAGATGAGTCAATGTGCAAAATTTGAGAAAGATTGAAGGTGATTTGGACTGAATTGGTATCAAAATTCGTAGTTAAAATCGAGTTCAATTTTTTTTTTTGCGACACATGTATCAAACATGTATCACGTATGTATCTCACACGCAGGTATACATGGATATACATGTGATACACATTTGATAAAAATATGATACATATATGATACACAGATGATACAATGTGTGATATACATATTATTTTTTCATGTTCATCTTCTACTTGAAATGTTCCATTCAAACCACCTCAAAACTCCACCAAATCATCCAAAAACTGAGACCCAAGCTCCTTAAGATGTACCCAATCTATTCTAATAATACCACTCAAAAGGAAACAAATTTTTTTGACTTTTTTTGTCTACAAATAGCTAATTGGTTAATATTAGTAATATTTTATAAATTGACCAATTTTTATAATAAGCTACTTATAGATAGTATTTTACCGAAGGTTTTCACTCAAATCCGGTAGAAACATTTTTTTTTAAAATTTTGTAGCGCATGGGTTTAGAGAAGGGGAGTCTTGGCGTAACTGGTGAAGTTGTTGCCATGTAATCAGGAGGTTACATATTCAAGCCGTGAAAACAAGCACCTGTAGAAATACAGATAAGGTCGCATACAATAGACCCTTATGGTCTGGGCTACCTTTATGGGTTTAGAGAACTTTTTAAAACAGGGACAAAACATAAACAATTGCCTCAAAAGGGGCTATTTGTGCACTTCAGCCGCATCGTAGCACACAAAACCTGACTTTCGGGGCAAATACCGTTTCCTCCATTTTCCTTGGATGGATATTCATAGCTCAGAAAATCTCAGCGCTTAAACCTCATTTAACATTCCGGTA